CCGTTAATATTGACAGGCATTAGTCTCTTTTGTCTATGACGCAACATATAATTCTAAAGTGGCTGGGACGTGACTTCCACGTCATACAACAATAAATAGAATTTAGCACTATATTAGACCACAAATCAACAAGCTTACCACTATTGTATATTTCTACCATCGTTCTACCATTATGATATATTTTTGCTATCATGGTATAATATATGATTATCAAATTATATATGGTATATTTTTACAAAATTACCGACACTATGCTACGATTTAGTAATTCTTCAATGAAATAATTATTTTTGTTTGGCTACTTCTTTGTTACTAATTAATTTTATTAGGAAGCAGAATTAAGGCTAAAAGTCACCAGGACTAATTTGATTACTTTCATCCTAATTAGACTTACTAAGCCCACACAATTATTACCCACATAAGCTAATAATCCACTAACCTACTAAACCCTAGACTAATTAACTCATTGACACAAATGCATATACTAACCCCAAAACCCAACATTCATCTCATCATGTTGAGAAGAAGTTTTTCTGGTTCTCTATCCTAGGGAGAAGAAAAAAGAAGATACAGAAAAGTAAAGAGAGAGGTGAGAGATGGCAAATAAAATAAATGGAAATGTTGATAGTGCGAAGTTTCTCTCGGTTTTGGAGGGGTGAGTTCAATAGTAACCTTTTCCTTTCTTTTCCTTCACCCTGTCACTGTTCCAAAACTAAAAAACAGGGGAAAGTGCATTGGTTCTGCAACTTTCCACTCATTTCTTTCCCTCCCCTCCTTTTCCTTCTCATATGAACATAGTGTAAGGGTTTACACAATCCATCCACCGAATTACATGGTCTGTGTTTCCTCAACCTTATCTCGTGTAGCATTTTACACGACCCCGTGTAACCCTGACCGTGTTTTCTTATGCTCCTCTATGGTTCTAAGTCCATGAACACATAGTTTGATATTTGATAATTAACCAAATTATTTTTTAATTTAAGTATATTTTTATTTGTCCTTTTTTTTCTATTTACGATGATACGATTAAATAATTTTCGATCCTTCGAAACCCAAAATCCTGCCTCCTGTCCGCCTGCCCTCATCATATCTATCAAACTGAGTCACAGACTTGGAGATTTCCCCATAATATGGCCCATCATTTTTGCAATGAATTAATGAATCCATGGAAATTCAGATGAATAGGGATGGCAACAAAACCCGAATCTACGGGTACCCACCCGACCCAACCCGGTCAACGCGGGTAAAATTCGTGTTGACGGGTTTCGGGTCGGATTTGGGTTTAAACCCGTTCACTATTCATCGGGTTGGGTTGCGTTTGGGTTTAGGTGTACCCGACCCATGGGTACCCGCCCACACGCATAAAATCAATTTTCCCGGTATATTAAATATTATAAGCAATTAATCTTCTTTATGTTTGTGGAGACATATCTAATTTTTTCTTTCTAATTGTGTAGAATGAAGTTGATATTGAGTGTGGAGTGAAGGAGCTTAATTGATGAGGAAGAAACTTTGAATCAATCATGTTGTTTATGTATAATTTTTTATTTGCTTCCATTTTCTCTAGTTTTCTAGATTGGTGTTGAACAATTTGTATGGTTAATTTGTGATTTGCTTGAATTTTCTAGAATGGTGTTTTATATATGGATTATTTGTATTGAGATATTGATATTTGACTTTTATTTTGATAAAAACTTGTTATTGTAAATTTTTTACGACAAACCCATGGATACCCATGAACCCGCGGATACCCAGCGAATTGGGTTGGGTTTGAGTTTTCCAAACCCAGTGGGTTTTACCCCGGGGTTTTTTCACGGATAAACCCATGAGTTTGGGTTTGGCAAAACCCGACCCATTGCCATCCCTAAATAGAGTGGAGATTTGAGATTGTTAAGAAATTACCCTCTAGTGATACCCCATTGATGCTACACACGAGTATATAAGGAAATGATCAACCATCTATACCTCGATTAGTATCAATGCTTGATGTTAGATAAACAATTATGGCTCATACAGGCCCATACTTAATCATGTGCTATCCTAACTTCCTTGTTTCTTCATTAATTAGGTAATAAAATGAAGCAAAAGCACACATTAGCTAGATAAATCTCTATTGAAAGAGGCACATTGATGGAAACATTTTATATTTATTAGGAATTAGTAGTAATTGTTGGTTTATTATTCGGATTAAACGCATTAGCCATACTCGATCGTGTTCCGCTCAAAAGCACGTAACATGTTGAAAAAACACGCCAGCCTCCTTATGGCCGCGTTTCTCCCACAAGCCTGGTCCCGCTTCTCAGCAGAATCTCCACTGGCACCCAACATAGATTAAAAATGCCAGGCTCCTCACGACCACTTTCGCCCTCAAGCTCAGTCTCGTCCCCTGCAGATACGCCAGCGGCACCCGACATCGAAAAAATGCATCAGGCTCCTCACATCACTCACACCTTCCATGGATACATTAAACTTTTCACGATGTTATCATATCGACTTTAGTTAAAACTCTCAAATCGTGGGGGTCATCTCACATAAAACATCAACGGCCTAGTAGTGAGTAAAACTCAACGAATTTAGAGCTTTATATCATGACGTTGAAAGCAAAGTGGTGGCGACAAAACTGCAAGTTCACAGTGTCGTACAAGTAATAAAGTGTAAGTAAAATTATCTTTCTCTTGGGGATTGGTCAAATTCAACAATTAACAAATTTAGTTCGAGAAACTATAGAAATTGCAATGGTTGTAATCAAGTGATGAGTTGCAGAAATACGGAAATTAACCAACTCTAAAAATGAAGTACTTTTGAGAAATTAACTTTGGAGAGTTCCGTGGGAAACACAAGATTTTATTATTTACCTCGGTAAATTTAATTGCCCTTGCCAATCAATTTAGAAGTTCGACGAACACAATCAAGCAAGCTCAAGCGGACGACCAACTAGCTTACACAAACGGAAGCCAGAAGGAAATGAAAGATCTTTCATGGAGCCCTCCACCGCTCGGTTGGGTTAGTGTGCAGACAGACGGCTCCGTTCAGAAGCCAGGATCCTTGCAGCAGCTGGCGGATTGATTAGGGACTGGACAGGGCGTTGTATCGGACCCTTTACAACTTAGGGAGTTGTACGATCACACGAGCAGAGATGAAATGAGCTATCAGAGGTATGCAACTAGCATGGAGTCAGGGGCATCGAAAGGTACATCTACAAATGGACTCCACCACAGCCATTCAAGTTTTGACGTCGGATGAGCTAAGGAGCCAGAGATACTTTAATTTGACTCGCCAATTCAAGAGTCTTCTCCACAGAAACTGGGAGGTGAAAATCTCTCACATTTACAGGGAATGCAATAAGGCAGCAGATTACCTTGCCAACAGGGGATATCATGCCAAGTTAGGATACGTTGATTTTAATGTTTCGGATAGAGGGCTGTCATTTTGGATTTTGTATGACTCTATGGGTATTGCCCAAACCTGTTTAATTTAAGTGCCAGGCAGGAACGCCCTTTTAGCGTCCCATCTTTCTACCGAAAAAAATCTTATTGATGATAAATTTGTTTAAAAAACCTTTTGAAATATGAAAATGCGAAAGTCTTAAACAACGGTATCTTAAAAAAAAAAATCAATTCTCGTCCACCTCAACTGAAATCCTGAATGCACCACTAGTTTCGGTGGTTTACTTGAGATAGATAATATGTTAGTATTGTGGAGACGAAAGAGCTAGCTAGGGGGAGTAATAATGATAGACATACATAGGGTGGGATACTGCCTGAATTTCCATTGCCAGCCATGACAGGCACTAACCTACACCACCACTACACTGGCTAGCAACGAGTGAGTGAAGCCATTATATTATGGAGGTGGATATGGATGGAGAGAATTGTCGCAAATCTTCTCAATGAAATCTTGGCCGTGGTACGGCCGACAAGCCATGATAATAATGAAACATTTTCTTTTTTATAAATAAAAAGTGGAGAAAAAAATGGAAAGGGAAGGGAAGTCTGTCAACTTTTGCAATAATAATGAAACACGAGCCTTTATAGTCTCATAAATTACATATTTTGATTATGATGTTCCACCGGAACAGTGCGAATCATGTGTGATTAAGACCTCTTAGAAAGAACAGTCAATTATGACCAAAAGATATATAGTACGTAGTAAGAAGAAACCATTTTTTTTTTCTTTGGGAAAGAAAGTGAAAAGCAGTATATGTTTCTATCCAATCCAAAACAATGATAACAGTAGACAGCATAACATGTATGTTTCCCAAGTGTGTCCACTCCTTTACGCTTCTGCATTAAATAAAAGATTTTAATTTCCTGCGTATATATGTTAATTGTTTATACCACTAGTGGTAGTGAAATTACAATTTGGTGGATTTACGACCGAGGTCACAAGTGAATTAAATTAATAGATTGGTGGGTTATATTGGTGTATTCATAGATTCAGAAGGTGGACACGAGATGTTCTAAGGGTGTGTCCCGAGACGCCTTTAAAATTTGGAAAAATAATTATTCAAATTCATATTTTTTAATAGGCTACAACTCATTTGTTGTTATATTTTAAAAATAATTATAATAGTGAAAATGTTATTCCTTATTCCCAATTGTTTTCAAAAACTAACGATTAAACCCAATCACAGAGAGATTTGTGACGTAGTGTAGACACTTAGTGTATTTTATAATTTTTTTCAAAATGTGAGATACGTCATGGGCTTTTGTTTTAACCTGTAGTAGGAAGATATTTTCTTATATAAGATTGTTGGGTGCGCCACTGTATGGATCAAATTGATTGATGGATTGGATCGTGACAACTAAACATTGGATGAATATATGTAACCTTTGGCAGGTTAGGTTAATTAGAACATATATATTTACGTACGATTTTAATTTTGTAGCAAATTATCTTGCTACTTATATTATTCTTTACTTTGTCGCTTACTTGATTAGCGTGGGGAAGACCATAGATATTGCTTCTACTTTGCCCCGTCTTGTCCTGTTCTCGACACGTTCATTCATTTATGAAGTATTTTCTCTGTGTTTCAGAGTAAAATATCTACTTTTTTTTCAAATAACATATAAGAATGAGTCGACTCGCCCCACACATTTAGTACGGAGCGAACATAAATATTGAGTTACCCGCCCGCTCCATTACGATCACTATAGCTGCCTAGCTAGTACCCAAATTCCATATATATAAAAAAGTAGATAAAGTAGAATCAGTGAAAATAAGCGTTGTTGGTGGTGGTAGTGCAATTGACATTCTTCAAGTCATGACCATGATGATGACGTGTCTCCTCTTCCTCCTCGGGCGGCTGCGGGAGCGGGACGACGGATGGGAGCTTGGAGAGCAAGGCTTGGAGGCTGCTCATCGAAGGAGCTATCTTGTACGACCCACTATTACTATTCATCATCATCATCTGCTGGCCGTGGACGTAGAACGACTCATCTGCCGGCGGCAGTGGAACGACCGGCCCGCCGCCGCCGTAATAAGCAGCGGCAGCAGCTTCGTAATGGTGAGGTAGCGGCGGAGGTGGCAGCATCGGGTAAGCAGAAGCAGAAGAAGAAGGGTGGGGCAGTAATACTCCTGGAATGCTCTCTATGTAGCTCAGCTTCTTCCTCAGCGTTACCACGTAGCTCAAGTCCTCCACCACCTTCAGTCAAACATATTGAAGAGGTAAGGAAGCGGTTAAGATCGATACATGAATTTCTCCCAACAAATTGAGTTAGCGAGACCGGTTGCTTAACCGGCCATCTATTCCTTAATATGTACGCAAGAGTACCTTGTGGACAGCACCAAGTTGGACAACACCTTCTCGGACACCAATCAGTGCTATGGTCTACCAAACCAAAACCAAACATAAATCAAAAAGAGAAAAGAAAAAATGACAACTGAGAGCTAGCTAGCTAGTGAGATATATCTATCTATCAATCAGTTTTACCTTTATACCAGACTGGAACTGGGCTTCCCATGTTCTTGGCTGCTGTAAATACACATGTAATTAAGAAAGAGAAGATGATTCATTTTTGGCATCAGTAGTGGATGGAAACTAACTAGTTTTTGACTAGCTAGCTAGCTAGCATGAAATCTCAGAGAGAGAGAGAGAGAGAAGGATGGATGCATACAGAGTCAGGTGAGTTGTGCCATGTAGACAAGAAGTTGATCTCTTGCTCATTTGCTTCTTTGTATACCCACTTGTGGCTGTGATCTGCTGCTACTTTCCCTATCAATCTGCCAAAAAAACCCCATTCATAATTTTCTCGATCTCTTCCAGCTGCTTTTTTTTTCCTTCTTTTTTCCAACCGGTCAGAAAATAGATTTGTATATAGAGATCGAAATACCCTTCTCCGTAGTTGTAGATTTCATGGGACATTTTGAAGAAGAGCTCAGGCTGCAGCCCTTGATGATGATGATGATACCCAGAAGCAGAAGCAGAACAAGTGGTGGTGGTGGTGGTGGTTGGACATTCATTATTGATGGTCTCTGCTGCTGCAAAGTTGCAGAACCCATCTTCCCACACCAATATCCTGCTCCTCCCCCCACCTTTATTTCATCATTATTCAATCTCAATCATACCCATGTTTACTATGAATATCCATATTTATTAATGGATCTTATATAAACCATCAAACAACATTAATGATTAATAAAAGCAACAATATAAATATTAAATATGTTATTCCAGAAGAAAATAAGAAGAAGAAAAAGAAGAGGTACCAATTCCTCCTGTTGCCTCTGGACCGGTCATACGCTCCTTGCCCATCCCATCTGCAATAGTATTTTATATCAACAACAACAACAACAACAAAAAAAAAGAGGGAATATATTATCATAATGTGATTAGATGCATTTGATCCTATAACTGCTACCTAGATAGATACTGTCTCCCTAGAGAAGACGATCCAAGAAGAAGGGCAATGGAAAATGGAGGAGAAAAAAATAAACATATTATATTAACTCAAGTAGTAAAGTAATTAGATACTTGGGAGGGGGATAGTTTCTGGGCAAGATCCTCCAGAAGACAGCATAAACCCACTGAGAGGTTTCATGGTTGCACAAGCTCCTCAGTGTGTGCTGAAGCAGATGAGTGATGGCTAATGGGCTCAGATGTTCTTCCATTTTCAACACCACAAGAAACAAGAACAAGAGCAAGAACAAGAACAAGAACAAGAACAATCACCTTTCCCTTTCTTTTTTTTTTCCCTTTTCTTCTCTTGTGAGAGAGTGGGATGGGTTGCCTCTCACTATTACTAACACTAGTTAGCTAGCTGGTACTCTTTCGAAAGAAGCTAGGCAAACACCCAGCAGGCTCTACCCTGCTTTATATAAGCCCCACCCCCCACCAAGAAAGAAGGAAGATTCTTATCATACTTTTTTTTTTTTTTGGTTTATTATTTATTTAGAAAAATGGGCAATAAAAAAACAACACCTTTATCTAGTCTTCCTTATATGCAACCCGACTATGGTGTTCACCGTGGAAACAAGCTCATAAGGTGTCTAGTTATCTAGTTATCTTATCGAGCGTTGGGCACTCCTACAATGTTGGAGGTAAGCGATGATAATATATTTACAAAATGATAATTGCTTCCATGTAGAAAAATTGGTATGATGTAGATTCGAAAAAAAAAAAATAAAGAAACGATAAGTTATGATTGTGTCTTCTAAGAAAAATAAAAACAATAATTTCTTCTTTTGTAGAATTTCAATTTATAAATTATTGATATAAACTACGGGGAAGAAATGTTTTGCATGAAGTAATGAAAGCGAGTTTTTAAAAAAAAAATTCCCGTCGAAAAGGGCGTAATGGAGTTTTATATATTAATACAGTTAAATAAAAGAAAGAAATCATCAATTTCATTAGTTATCTGAATAAAACTAAAGAATTTGGATTATTGAGAATCCAATCATCTCGTCAAGTTAGAAACATAAGCATGGTCATTGAATTGAATTCTTACACTTTCAATCTTTGCGGGGATATTTTCACAGTTTCTCTTGTGAGCACGATAGCAAAATGACTTATATGGATTTGGACTTTAAGATCATGATTATGTCTTACATCAAACAATAAGATAAAGTTAAGCTAACATGTAAGCAATGTGCTTTTACGCTTGCGAACCCATAAATATTGTAGCTTTTGTTCAAAAGCGCTTTGCACCAAACGCTCAAGCAAAAGCCTTTAATCCTAATAAAAGCTTAGAAGTTAGCTTTTAAATGGCTCTTTAGGCTTTTGATACATGAAGGGGTGTGCAATGGTTTGGTTCGAACCTGACCAGACCAAACCTGGAGAACTGCGATCCATAAGAAGAAAGAAAAAAAAATGAATCAAGGAAAAAAATAAATTTAAAAGCTACTTCAACCTGCCATTTGCCCCCTTTTCCCTTACTATTAAAGTTTGTCTAACCACCCTTATAACTTCATCATTTATCGATGGTTCCTCTTCTCATATTTCTTTCCTGAAATCAAGAGGAAGATGGTGAAAGCTTGTTTGAAAGTCTATTAATTTAGTTCATGTGTGTGAGGGTGATCTTTAATATATGAGCTCCTTCACATATTTGTTTATATTTTAAAAAATAGAAATTATGATTACAAAATTTCTATCAAATTTGTTGAATGAATAAAAATTTAAACTTTTAAACAAAGGTCCCTCTCGTCAGTAGTAACCCTCCTCTTCTGTTCAAGGACTACTCCTCTTCTGTAGTGTGATTTCAGGAGGAATTTTACAATGCTATATAGCATTGGTGCTATAAGTTTTTGCATTTATGATACAACTTGAAATTGTACATTTAACGTATGGTACAACTTCAGATTGTACCTATACTTTTTGTACAAATTTTTTTATGGTACAACTTAAACTTGTACCTTATGTGATGGTACAACTTCAAGTTGTAAAGTTGTACCATAACATAATGATACAAATTTCTTTATAGTACAACCAAAACTTATACATTTAATGTTATGGTACAACTTCAAGTTGTACATTAAAGCACCAATGCTATATAGCATAGTAGAAGTGCTCGTGATTTCAGTACACTAACTTTTTCCCCTCTTGGGGTACTGGGTTTTTGGTTTTTTATATATTCTTTGGGTTGGGGATCCCTCTATAACTATAAGTACATACTATGCCCCTATTTCAATTATGATCTTCCATGAAAACCATAATATTAACAGCTACTCTTCGGCTTGCAAGTCAGAAGGTACCTTAAGTCATGTACCTATCTCTTCTCAAACTCCAATGTGCGGTCTTCTTCTTCTTTTATTTTTTCACTTCAAACTATTAATTTTTTCAATGTCTTCTAAATAAACCTAATCGATCATAGTGCGAAACCCAACTAACTCGTTGCAATTAATTTTTTTGTGTACTTTTATTGTAACGGATGCGTACAAGTTTCTCTTAAAGGTTACACCAACTGATTTGTGCAAACAAATTACATCCACTTTTGAATATCACTTGTTCGAATGAAGTTAATTTTTCTAAAATGAGAGTTTCTGAATCAAATGTTCATCATTTCAGAAAAAAACAGTTCAGATTGTCATCTTCCTCATTGGTTATTCAAATGTTCACATGTTAAATATTTCAATCATTCATAAACAAAATGTTAAATATTTTTGCATTAAAAAACATTTCTTGCTACCCAATGAGACATTCATGCACAAATACCTCATTATTTCTTGCTACAAAACCAACTTCAAAAATATGGTAGCATGTGGATAATTTGATTTTCTATTTGACTAATAAAATTCAAGATGCTACTATCCTCGATTTTCTCATTTTACTGCGATTTCTTAACCTCGCAACATAATATGAAAGTCTAGATAAATCAAAGTAAATTGATTCAAGGAAATACCTCTTCCAAATAAATGTTTTATTATTCTGTCTTCTTTTCACTTAAAAAGTAATCTCAACAAATTTTCCCGACTGAAAAGAAATGCATGCAAAAGGGGGGAAAAGGAAAGTGAAGGATAACAATTTCCCCTTTTCTTGTTGAGCTAGCCTCCTTGATCCATGGACAACCTCATCTGAAGAGTTTAGCGCATTTTGTCCAAGTTTCCACGAGCGGCGATTCGACCCGTTGTTGGGCCACCGATGGTTATAAAAGCGAAAGCGCAAAAGCAAAGCATAAACTTTTAAACATTATAGAACTTTGATAGAAATTTTCTAATTATAACTTTTATTTTTTAAATATAAAAAATAAGTGAACTAACGCATATATTAAAGATTACTCTTACATACGTAAACTAAATTCTTTTACTTTTAAACAAGCATTCGTTGTCTTCCTCCTGCTTTCAGGAAACAAAAGATGAACCATCAAGAAATGATGAAACTATAAGGGTTGTAGGCCAACCTTCCCTAATAAGTGAAAGTGGCGACAAATGGGAGACTAACAAAGATGAGTTTCAACCACAACATAGTCATAGGGTTGCGAGTTGCAAGGGTGGTAAAGGACGCAGAAGCCGGAGAAAAGACGAGAAGTGAGGAGAAGTGACAATGAATTCGCGATGATGAATTCGTACAATGAAAGATTTAAAGGATAACCCGACTAAAAAATAAATAAAGCTTCATCGTTTTTTTCTCTTTTGGCCAACAAAATTGTACCAAACCGACCCAATATGGTAGGGTGTGCAACAGGTTGTTCAACAGCAAACCTCACCGGACCAAACCAATATCAATAATGGACCAAACCGACCAAATATAGTGTGGTCTGATCCATGGCTCTATGAATTTTATAAATGTTGAAGAAAAATAAGACATTGATATTTGGACCAGACCAAACTTAACCGACCAATTGTAATGTTGGTCCACTCCTTGGTCCTATTTTTTTACTTATGGGTTGCAATTCTCAAGGTATGGTCTGTTCTTGTTCGAACCTTACTGTTTCCCATCCATAAAATATTGTCCAAATACTCGAATATCAAAAGTCTTAAAAAAGCAATTTAAATGCTAGCTTCCAGACTTTTACTAGACTTGATGGTCTTTGCTTGGGCTTTTGGTGCAAAAAACTCTTTTGAGAAAAGCTACAATATTTGGGGGATCTAAAGCGTAAAAACATATACTAAAGCTAGATTTTGACTACATTGATTCTTGCTTCAGTTTGGGTTGAGTCTTCCTCCGTTGGGCTTCTCTTGGATTCATATAGTGGGTTATTAATAGGCTTCTCCGTCATTGGATCTCGTCTTTATCGTGAAAGCTCCATATTCTTCTCTATATAGCTCATTTGGCCTTACAGAGTTCTCTAATGCTTGAACCTTTAATTCTCCTTCGCTGAATTAAAGGTTAAAGATCAAATTATCAAGTACTAAAAAAATCTGCGCTATGAGCTGTGACAGCAACAACGGCGGCAGCGGCAGCAGCACCCGCAGCTGGTTGGGCTTATCCCTCTCCCCACACATGAAAATGGACGCCGACAACAACCACCACCAACACTACCACCACACCGGCGCCCTCTACCTCTCCGGCAACAACCCCTCCCCCGGAATCTCTTACGACGGCGGCGGAGGAGGAGGCGGCGCCGCCGGCTTCCACCATCACTCTCCTTTGACCGTCATGCCCCTCAAGTCCGACGGCTCCCTCTGCATTATGGAAGCTCTCTCTAGATCACAACCACCTTCTCAAGGTCCTCTCATCATTCTCATTATTATTACTTAGTTATTATTATATTAGTATTATTATTAACTAAAGAAAGGAGGGCTCCGATAAGATGAAGAAACCTCCCTTCAACAGATTTAGTGTACAGGTGCTTCATCGGTGGCCTAGCCAGGGCTACCACCGACGAGGCCCTCCTTGAGGACTTCATCACGTACGGCAACGTCGTCGACTCGAAGATCCGTTAGCGCTCGGCTCTGACTCGGCTCCACTCGGCTTTATCGATCCAGGATCTGCAGTTCTCCAAATCCGATCTCGTTTTCTCTGTTACTCTGTTACTGTTACTGCGTTACTCTGTGTTACTGTTCTCTATACTACTCACCGCTAATCGATCATCAACGATCGTGAGACTGGAAGGTCCCGCGGATTCGGAGTCGTGACCTTCGGCGACGAGCATTCGACGAAGGACGCGATCGCCGGGATGAACGGCCAGAACCTCTGACGGCCGCAACATCACCGTCAACGAGGCTCATTCCCGTGGAAGCGGAGGCGGTGGCAAAGCTTTATGCTCATTTAATATAATAATTATTGTGTTTAGTAACCATTTTTTTTCTCAAATCGGTTACAAAGCTTTATGCTCATTTAATATAATAATTATTGGCGAGTTAGAGTGTTTTATAACTCTAATAAAGAGAGCCGGAAAAGCCTTAATTGTGCTTTTAAATCGTCTCCTTAATGACGAGTTAGAGTGTTTTAAAACTCTAATTATTGGATTTGGTAACCACTTTTTCTCAAGTCGGTTACTAGGCTTTATGGCCAGAAACGGCTAGCGCCGGAAAAGCCTTAATTGTGCTTTTAAATCGTCTCCTTAATGACGAGTTAGAGTGTTTTAAAACTCTAATAAAGAGAGCCTTTCAAGGTTGTTGCTTTCGCCAGCATAATGTGGCGTATTCAAAGGGCTTCCGTAAATAAATATACTCTCAAGGCCCTAATTAATGCAATCATCCAACAATTTGATACTAGAACAGATTGGTCAGCAATGGATTGCTCGAAATTCCCATTTGAAAAAAGACTTGGAATACCCAAGTCCCGCTTAAGCTCAAATTTTACATATGACAACGCCTCAAAGTCATACTTCCCACAATAGTGGCCCTTCAAACTCGTGGAGTCAACTGTCTCAACTGATGCCCTGTCTGCTGGAGACATCGAGAAAGCATTGAACATTTATTCTTCAGATGCCCCCTAGCCACCAGATTGTGGACTTTAGTGGGATTGAGCAACTTTATTGAGACCGCCCAGACTGTTAACTTTAGTCTATGGTGGCGACATGTCATGGTCTCCGAGACCTCCCCATTCCACATTCTCCAATGCGTCTGTTTACTTTGGAGAATCTGGAAGTTTAAAGTGACCTTCGAATTTATCCAACCTCATGTCCGTTCCCTAGCCAGACAGTTCTACAACCATGTCCTCGAATTTTCCAATCTTCTCCTTCCTCCTCCGCCCCGCAGTTCTCTTATCCCAAATCATCCTGCCACTTGGGTCCCTCCACCAGAAGACTTTTTGAAGATCAACGTCGACACAGCTGTTTGTGCCACCGGTTGTTCGTATTCGTGGGTCAGACGGGCATGTGGTGTTGGTGCTCGGACTGCAGCATCAAGGAATAGTCAATCCTTAACTGGCAGAGCTTCTAGCTTTTAGAGACGCTATCTCCATCGTAACCTCAAGATCCTTGACCCACGTGATAGTCGAAGGTGATTCCGAAGTGGTGGTCATCCAATCCGTCAAGGTGTCATTGAAGACTCGATTGGAGGTCCGGTGCTACGAGAGTGTCTTCAGATCCTTAGCTCTTTGTCTGTTTGTATAGAGTGTAGGGCGGTACCCAGATCCGCCAACAGTGCTGCCCATAGAGTGGCGCGTAAAGCACTGCTTTTGTCTCGTGTAGAGCTAGAATCTTTTGATTTTTTGGGGTGGCTTCTTTAGATTCTGTTAGGGAACCTGGGTAGAATTGTAAGTTTAACTATTTTCTTCCACTGATATCACTCAGGAAAAAAAAAAGAGTTCTCTAATGCTTGATCCGAATTTCCTTAGGCGACTTTATACCTCGAAAACCATCAAAAATATACCAAGAGGCATCAAAGAGTACAAAAATACAACCTAGGTCTATTAAATGCTCAATGATCAAATAGTTATGATTTAGATAAGAAATACAAGAAAAAAGATAAAGATTCATTAATAGAAGGAAAAAATGTATCAAGAATGTGACTGACAAATAATATAAATAAAGTGTTATCATAAATACCCCACACTTGAACTTTATTTTGAAATATTTTTTTTTTTTTTGTGTGTTTGGTACTTAAAAGAATTCATTTTCAATTCTAAATTTTGAATTCTACGGAATTGAAACTAGTTATAGCATTTCCGAGGAATTGAGATGGAATTTCTAAATGAATTCCACAAGTATTTACTAATTATAACGAAATGACATAATTACCCTCATTTGTTAACTAAATTACTTCTACATATATGATTTGGCGCCAATTCATGCACTATGAACATCGACAAAAATTTGATTGCAATGCTAGTAGCATATGTTGGTTTTTGATATTTTTGCTTCAATTGTATCATTATATTGAGAAGCCACATATACAGTGTAGGGTTCAGCAACGAGATATTAGAAAATATCTAATGAATATAATAGAAACACAGAAGAACACTTCTCATATTCTACGTATGAGACCGAAAACATGTTTTAGAAGATGAATTATCAATGAATATTGTTTCTGTCGGAAATTAATGGTAGTTGGAAACTTTTAATTGAGTTGAATTTTACACGTATACCAAACATGGTTTGGTAATTCATCTCATTTTATTTCTAAAGATATGAATATGACATACCAATCACAAGAATACTTTTGACAATGAATTCTACACCGTAATTCATTTTAGAATGAATGAATTCCCTATTTATTTGGTACCAAACGGGTTGTAAGACAAATTTAATGAATATTGAATACTTCTTGATTAAGAGTAGATTGTCTAGCTTATAAATATGGAATCTTTTGTGTTCATCACAAAGTTACTGAATTAAATGTTGTATGTCAGTTAAAAATTAATTTATACTAGATCAACCTTTCATAAAATTGTATTGAGATCATGTGCCAGAAATATAGTATTCATGAATAGTGTATACAAAAGTATAACAAAATTTGGAAACACAAAATCATATTAAATATAACTCTAATTATTATTGATATAATCAATAAAGTATCCCGACCAATGGCAGGGTTGAAAGCTAGTTTACAAATAGGGTGTTGGAGGTCTCGAGGTCTGTTAAGCTGGACGGTCTTAGTTCCCTGTTTCGGATTGTTGAAATTGAAGGGGTTAGAGAAATATTGTCCATCCACGAAGAGGAGGATATTGAATGCATAAGTTAATCATTAATATATTCTTGGTTTTTCTTACACTACAAATGGTGATTTGTGGTATGTCGGCTTCGTTCAACATTAGTTTCAATTAATCAAAATTCATAGGGAGATGAAAAGCAGCATCCTATTAACAAATTGGGGGTTAGAGGGATTCTAATTGGGAAGAACTACCATTGGAATGCTGTTCAACATTAGTTTCAATTAATCAAAGTTCATAGGGAGATGAAAAGCAGCATCCTATTAACAAATTGGGGGTTAGAGGGATTCTAATTGGGAAGAACTACCATTGGAATGCCTTGCGACTAGATCAAGACTCAGTTTCCCCTTTGAATCCCAGTAAGTCTGACATCTAGATCAAGACTCAGTTTCCCCTTTGAATCCCAGTAAGTCTGACATCTACAGTGGCTGAATTAATTTTTCAAATTGAGTAAGACTATTCATACGAATTTGAATTATGTCTATATTAATCCCTCATTTCTCGTATTCTCTTACAAACTCAGCCAAATCTCTATTTAATTAAATTCCAATAAACAACTTCTTCAGTTACGTACTTACTGTGCACATGGTGGTCATATTGTTGTGTTAACCTTAGGTGGATGTTTAGGTTGTAATGTCAACTTGGTTGTTCAAATGCCACTAAGAGATCTTTACCCTTGTGCACTAAAATCTAGATTGTAGACCTATTGTGGAAAAAAATAATGATGTGAAAATTTGGAGTTTAAAATGAAGCAATTCACTTACTATGACATCTTATTACACTAGTCCTATTGGTTTTAGTTCATACTAGAGTAGAACATATATGAGGTTACCTGATGTGTGAACGTTACTAAATACTAAATTTTTAGGCTTGATTTTTTGTAACATAGACAAAACCAGACAGAAGTCCGGTTACATAGTCAGAGAACATTATCAATCCACGGGCGAAAGTTGACTAATCGTCGAACTTTCGATGAGAGAGCGTTTGTGGCCACAAAATGAGCTGCTCTATTAACTCGAAGAGTAACATGGGTGCAAGAACAATGATCAAAAGCTTGTGCCAGTGTGCGGATGTCTTCAAGAAGCATCCCTCCCAACACATGCTCGGAACCTCCCGCCAACAGCCGCCGAATGGCCATAATGGAATCCCCATGGCAACCAACAAAGAGAAAGCGATGGGATAAGCACCAGTCTAATGTGTCACGTAAAGCCAACAAACTAGAAAGAAAAGAGTCTTGGAGACCATCGTAGTACTTACCCATGGCGAACAGCAGATTAGAGGATTGATCATGCCCCACAAACCCCGTACAGCCAGTAAAACCCACAAATACTATCGTCGGGGTAGGCACTGCTGCCGGAGGCAAAAATGAATGAAGAATTGTTGTTAGAGGAGGATGAGGCCCTAGGACTGACCGAGGATGAACAGAATTCGACGACAAGGAAAGCTCAGCGGAAGCACGCTATTCATCCACCTGAGTAAAAAATTGCCGATGTAATGCGACCGGAAGGAATTGAATCCCATCGTGAACAGCCCAACATCTGCCCTACCCTATCCGCCAGAACAAGAAAACAACATCCATCACTTGCATTTTGGACAAATGCAGAGAAAAGAATAGGTTTTCCCAAATATTAACAAGGGTACGAGGAGCCAGAAGAAGACGTAGATCGTCCATGCCGGCATGTCGCCACACTCCTATCGCAACACGGCACTGGAAGAAGCAGTGTTGGAAAGTTTCCTCCCCGTCAGAGCAGACAGGGCAAGTTGTGGAAAACCAACTGCATATGGAGTAACACCGTCAAAATCGGAAGGAAACCACGGGCAAAGCGTCAGGCAAAATTCCGCAGTTTAGGCGGCACCGGCAAGCTCCAAAGGTATTTCCAAAACCTGCAATCAAACGGTAACGCAGGTGGATGAACTTGGGCAAGAAGCTCATTGGTGAGTACCTGATAGCCTGGTTTAACTGTGTATTCACCAGAAGAAGAATAATGCCACACCAAGCGATCCTCTGATGGAACGAGGGCGAGGGGAATGCCCAAGATGATCTGAGCGGTTGATGGCGGAAATAACATAGCCAGGAGGCCCCGGTCCCAGCAGCGACGGTCAGACTCAATCAGATCAGCGACCCGTAAGCCAGCAATGTTGACCCCCCGAGAGAGGAATAGGAGACGAAGGAGGAGAAGTACGTAACCACTTATCATCAAGAACCCGAATGGAGCTTCCTGAACCGACCTGCCATCGAAGCCCACGAAGTAGGAGATCACCTCCTTCGAGAACACTCTGACATGCCCGAGACGGTCGATATCTCGTTGTCGCCTCCAAGAAATTATGGTGGGGATGATACCTCGCCTTATAAATCCACGCTAAACAACTGGTAGGATTCCGGAGAACTCGCCAAGCCTGTTTAGCAAGTAGTGCAACGTTGAATTAATCAAAATCTCAAAATCCGAGTCCCCCATGAAACTTACTCTGACACGCCGCCGACCAGGGGAGCCATCGAATCCCAGTCTCCTTATCCTGGACAGTGACCTGCCCACCAGTTGCGCGCAAGAAGACTATTGCATCGGCGACATGTCCAGGAGGGAAGTCGAAAGGAAGACATTGCATAAACAGGTCTAGCAGAGCCCACCGCCTTGATGACGACCTCCTTCCCGGCGAAGGATAATCCTTTCAACTTCAAACTTTGGATGCAAGTTGCCAACGCCTCTTCTACAAAGTCTTTGTCGAAATTATTCTATCACTATTTCCTGCAAATATACTTGATTGATGATGTTGCCTTCTGTTTCCATGTTTTGCATATAATGGATTTTCAACCCAAAGAATTCCTTAATGTGAAGGCATGCTCACCTTTTGGCTAAAGAGGGGATCGTGTAAAATGCATTTGTGTCATGTTTTATTTCTTTGGTATTGAGTATACTTGGTTGTTCCAAGGCCACTAGGTAAACTCTATTAAACTTGAACCATTAATAGCATTGATTTTAGATTAATTTGATGGACGTAGGTTTCTTAAATCTAAGACTTGTTGTGTTAGTATAGTTGCTTATTGTTCTACTTTGTTGCTTTTCTCGCTTATTAGTTTCAATTGTGATAGAGAAAAGATCATATCGAAACATAAGCAAGTGCGGAAGAGCCTTCCTGGACGTCAATTAAAAAAAAGGGCTCAACGACGCTCTAGATATTCATGTTAATAGTAAGACCAATGATTTAGCGGGAGAGGACAATGTCTCCCTAATTCTCTATAAATTTTTTTATGTTAAATATTTTTCTTTGAAATGTATACTCTCATGAATAGATTCATCCTGATTTGCACCCCAAACCAAAATACTCAACTTGTCATCGTACTATTTTGAGAGATTGAGAATTGTGGGACGGGGACAACGAATACATAATATATTAGGATAAAAAATAAATAAATAAAGTTGCCGCCAACGGGCCAAGTCGAGAGCTAGTTATAATAGAAAGCGAACATTTCCACCAGATATTATTTTTTATGAAAATTTCAGAAATGTTAGTCCAGTTAGGATATATCACTTTGTTGTTAAAGTTATTGACGAAATGGCTATGTATTTTGTAAAAGTTTGTTACTAATATCACAAAGTGCATACTTAGAGCTATCCATATGTATTTTGCCAAAAAATTAATTTTGAAGGTTACAATTTGAAAAAGAAAAATAATCTCAACTAAATGCTATAACTATCTACGTCATATCAAACAAACAATAAATGTATTATTTATGTATAAAAATATACTATGAATTATATAAAATACAAGCAGCGAAACAATCACAGAACCACAGACACAAATGTAATGTTCCCTTCTCTGAGCCTCAAATAGCCAAAAGAAAACAATTCTAACTCTTACAAATCCTTACAGAAAGTATTTTCTTGGTAATAATGTACACAAAGCCTATCAAGACCCATAAACAGGGCAAATCTTTAGCTCAATGAACCTGAAACCGGTGTGCGAAAAGAACCAGAGCTGTAAAAGAAGTGATTCAATTGGATCTTTTGGCAACATATATATGCATATATCTCTCAAACTCTCTGGGGGGAAAAAAATATTTCGACCCCCAGAGGCCTACAACTGTCTCTCGCTTCTCACTCTCAAATTACAATCATGGACACCAAAGATTTATCTTAAAACTACGCCTACAGAAGTGAAATGCAGGTTCTCAGCGGACGGGTGGGGGGTAAAGCAAAAGGAAAAACAGAAAGAACTCGTACATGGAAAATGATGCTGGAAGTAAGGTTCTTCACAAATCGCGAGGGAAGTTGTTGATCTGTCCTTCCTCCAACACATCTTTGCCGTCGACCTTGTACGCTATCCTTAAGCGCATCACTAGTGGTTTCTGGAATCAATAGGAAAAGATTGGTGTTATGACATCTGAAAATCTCATTTTAGCACTGAAGAAAGTCTGGAAGCCAGAACGAGGAAACCCAGAAAAAGGTCAATTGTTCAGGGAAACGAAGATCGACAGCCCCGTGTGTGTCATACCTTCCCATGTTGGCTGTTTGTGACTTTCAAACTCTGTGTGATGGTCCCGTTCCCGCTAGCAGGTAGGCTGTTACCGCTAGCTGGATCCAAGTGAAGTTGCAGAAACTGTAAGAAAAAAGGAAAGGGTTCCAGTCGTGAGAGTCAGCAAGGAAGGGAACGAAACAGAAAGAGAAGAAATATAAAGGAAGGCAACAAGGGCATTTGCCTTTGGAACTGCAGCCTGGAAAACAAAGTCTGTGAACACATTAGATGACAAGTTTGTGAAAGTGCCAGAAATCGTTGTTGTCTGAGGGTTCCCAGGTTGCTTTGAGAAGTTGAAGGTTAACCGCAATGAGCTGCTCTCGAATGCAACTATGGAGGGATAAGCAGGACCGTTGTTTGCTGTCCAAAAACAACAATAATGAATGCCCCAAAGTGGAAAGGACGCAATGAGATGATAAGTATATGGTGGCTAGACTGTTTACCAGGCTTTGGTGGAGCTGGAGTGAAACCATCCAACAAATCCATCATATTGGAAGCTGTAGAAGAAGAGGCTTGGGTAAGGGAAGGTGCTGCGAGCACATCCAATGAGGCGATTGCGGGTTTGTGATCTTGTGCAGAAGATAAGATATCAGGTGTAGATACGCTGTTGTCCTGTGCAGGATTCGATCCAATAGACAGCAGATCTAATAGAACGTCTGTTCCAGCCTTCGGTGCTTGACTTGTACCTTAAGACGAGACCAAAAATTTACAGCATATCAAGACTACAGCAGTTCATAATGAGAGCTTATATACTCTTCAATGTTCAATGTATAGCAAGTATAAACGACCGAACACAAAGCATAGCAGAAGACAATGCCTAATAGAAGTGATAGCTTTAAGATATCCAGCTCTAGTGAAAAATCCAGACATAGGTAAGATACTGTGAAAATGGAACACGAGTTCAGCATTGGCAGTAGAGGCTGCCAAAACAAGCTGAGAAGAGATTAATAAAGCAGTTGCCAATCTGGAATGAGCCTCAGTGTCATAGTGGAAAGAACTCAACCAACAATAAGCTTTCAGAAACTAAATGAGGCTGTATCACGCTGACCTGATTGAGTGGCAGGTGCTAAATCAACACCAAGTAGATCCTGAAGAAAATCACCACCAGATGAGCTAGGAGCAGGTACATCATCAGAAAGATCAAGCAAATCTACAAGAGGAGCTGCAGAGGGCTTTGCAACTCCATTGGGAAGTTTCACTGCAGTGCCATTGGAAGTTGAAACAGTATTCGGCAAAGAACTAGCTCTTCTTCCACCAAAACTAGCTTCATCCAATACTGGCATCCGTTCAACCAGGGCAGACCTGCAGAAATTATCAATCAGTTCATTACTCTGGGAAGATTTCAAGATACCACAGTTAATACACCAAAAAGTTAAATCTAAACATGGATCTGGGTAAACTATAATGCACACCTAATATTCTGGTGCTTCTCAATTATGGAGTTGAATTCCAGCGACCTCTGCTGCAATTCGAGCACAAGACTTCCTTTATGTTGCACAACTATGTCCTTGATCCTCCTGCAAAGCCATGCAAAGGACAAAAACTTTAAAACTGAGGCCGATACCTTTAGATGAGATGGCATTAAACCCCTAATAGATGTTGTATCAGTGAATTTCATAACATGACTAAATAAAAATGATTTTATAGAAACTGAAAACTAAGCCATATTTGGGAAGGACTCAGGTGCTGTAGCTGGTAGGTTAATCTGGCAGTCTATGTTAAATCACATTTGGCATGAAACATGTAACAGAATGTATGTGGTACTAGCAGGGATGCTTAGGCGTTGGTGAAGAATATAGAGTCTGAAATTAGGGTTCTTGTCTAAGAGCAGGATCTTGATGGATTCCGGTCTTTTTAAGCTGCCGGATTAGCTCTTGTGCACACCTGGGGGTTATTGTAGGGTTTGTTTGGTTTACCTTGTTTTAGTAGGTTGAATCACTTATTGTAATGTTGTTTTCTCCTATGGGAGAAATGCCTAGTTGACAAGGCTGCTGTCAACTCTCTTTTTTTATGGAATGGAAATCCCGATTCATCAAGAAAAAAACACTAAGCTACAATCTCAAACTTGATGCCATGCTGATATTTGTCCCACTAGAAAACCTTATTAACTTGAAATCACAACTGTCACTGCACTAGTGCCAGCCAAGTCCAACATGAAGAATTCTGCACATATAACATGCATGGAATCTGCCAGTCTTCAACAACTTCGAGCAACTTTATTTCAAGGCAACACAACCTAGAACTTGAGCAAAAAGATTACAGAAAACAGCGGGGCTAGAAGTACAAAAAGTAACCTGAGAAGATTACCCTGAACAAGATGGAAAACGTGAGGATAGCTTCAATAGCGCAATCAATGCCATTGACTTAGTGGTCAGATCAGAGGCATGGCGCTTTATTGCGCTCTCCACAACATCAACGGCATCAGACTCCGTTACCTGCTTAGAGAAGCAACATTGATCATAATCACTATACCAAGTGGACAGTTCATGCAACCTGAAGCACAAGCAATATACTCACTGTTATAGGGTCTTCCACGTTAAGCATTCCAGCATTATTCACCAACAAGTCCCCGTATTCCCCTATGCACCAAACTGCCACTCGGACAAGGCTCTCCTGATGAGCAGTGTTGAAATATTTATCACAACATAGATCGCCAGTAAAAATAACTATGTTTTTGTCAGGAAAGAGTAAGTACACGTAGGAACATAGTAATGAAAGGTTTCAGATCCATGGCTTGTGCCTTTGATGGCCGTAAGTGAGGCTCCATAACCAAGCACATCTTTTTCTTCTTTCCCCCCCCCCCCCCCCCCCCCCCCCCTTTTAATGTGGTGGATCTATAGTATTGCTTTCCCTCTTATCTAAAATGACAAATAAAGACAGGTGCAAGACATTCAAAACTAACCGAAACCGTTATCTTGCTTTGAATGAAATATAGGAACTTACCGGAGGAAGGGCTAACTACGGAAGACAAAGACAACTGTATGTTAAAATTAGTGCAATGCACAAGAACTTAAAGCATATTATCCTCCTAACCTAAAGACATGTTTAAAGATTTTCATTAAAAATGCTATTTCGTTATTTGAAATATAAACAAGAGTATGGTGTCTAAAGGCTTTTTCTTTGCCTTACAATTTGTGCCCCCAACAGCACTAACAGTAACAGGAGTTATCTACTGTTATATCACAACCAAGTGACTTGTGCAATCAGCATTGTTAACGGAAAAAGGGTGCACACCTCTAACATGAAGGGCTTTCAGATTACCAGAAAACAAAACAATAAGTTAATGAAAATCCTTCGAAACTGAACTATGACGTCTTATTAGGTTATGGTCGTGAAATTTCTTTTTGAGTTTTTCAATCATATACTGCACCAACGTGCCATACAATTCTGTTTGTTCAACTTAACTAGAATCTTATAGGACTCTTCAGCTGAGTTTGGTTCAATGGGTAGGCACCACTAGTCACATAACACCCAATGATCATCTTTTATTTTTTTATTTCCAATTATACCTCTTGCTCAAGATTATAATTCATGAGACTGGTTTAGTCACTTCACAACACCCAAAATTTTCAATTACTTCACAAACATTAGAAGATCGAAAGGTTGTAGCCTTGTAGGCCAACCTTCTATTTTAACGAATTCCCTCATTCACAAAATGTAAGAACTCTACGCTACACGAACTCCAATCAAACACAGTTCACCTTCTCCAACTTATTCTTAAAGTCGACATCTATTATGGATCTCCTACCAGTTGAAGCAAACAAACCCTTTATCTCTCCTTACCCAATTATACAGGATCTATTGATGATTTAAGGTTTGCTATATTTTGCCGCCTTTCCTCATTCACCACTATATACAAAAAGAATCGGAAATAGATCCATCACATGAAAGGAAAGGGATAAGAAAGGAAGAGAATGAGCAGGCGCTAAAGTGAAGAGCCTTGCGTCCCCATCATCTGCAAGCACTTTCTTCCCTAGGCATGCACCTCTAATGACTACTCATAGGAGAATGCTTTTAGGATCACATAACGGCATGTAAATATTATGAGAGCTCTCCATCATCAGACACAGTTCAATACCTGTTCTGCTGTAGTCTGCAATGCTCTAAACAATGCTCTTACTGTATATCCATGGAGGTCCGAAGCATTGCTGATCACAACAACTAGGGCATGCCATACTTCATCTTTTACAAAGTTCCCAGCCTGTCAACCGAAAAGAGATAAAATACCAAAATAGTATAATATAAGAACAATGGAAAAAAATAAACAAGCAAATGAATGAACAAAGACCCAAGATGCAAAAGGAAAATACCAGTGTCTAGAAGTAGCATGCTAGTAAATTCACATTTTCCTTGCCTACTTATGTCCAGGATTTAGCACTTGAAGTAAACTCAAATGCAATTTCTTAATAAAAACATTGCTACATCTTACCTCTGTGAGAACCTTGAGCATCTGATCAATATACCAAATTTTCTCGGGCGAAAACCTAAAATCCATAGAGAAAAAGTGACGACAAGACAAATCACAGGACCAGATAAGTTTCCAATAAAAAAATTAATTACGTAAATTCCATCTACCACAACAATCCTTCGGAAGGCAAAGGATTCCAAGAGATCCGATTAACATGGGAAAATCATCAACAAAGTGCTCACATCACATCAACTAAATTTTACTGTTAGCAACATTAAAGAATTTGGCAATCACACTCAATTGTAGAGAGAATACCACATTCTAATTAGAGACATCATTAACTACAAAGTGCCATATTCTAAAACCAACAAAGTAACGTCATTAATAACTTACTTTTCAATGATGGAGCAAATTTTGGCAGTCAGATCTCCTTTAAAATCTTGATCACTAACTTCCAAGTAGTCAACTAATTCTTTAGTTAAGGGTTTGACATTGCTCTCATTGACCAGGAGGTAAACCAGTTCAAGGGCTCTTTTCCTAATTGATGCATCTGAATCCTGAAGAGGAAGAACAATTAACAAACTTAGCTTGTTATATAAAACGGCTCATTGACCAGAGACAGAACTTCGTGATCTTAACTTTATTAGTACACTCAAAGATTTAACTGTCATATAACATATCTACCTTTAAAACAAACTATTGAGATGAGTCGCTAGGTTTATTAATATTTTAAAATAATGTGTTCAAAAAAGACCTTGGAAAATCTTATATATACCTTTACACACTCCAAAATTGTTGAACGATGCCTCTGCACTGCTTGAGCATCTACAGTAATAGCCCTCATCAGCATGTTTAAAGCAACATATCTGGAAAAACAAATGTAGATTTCAGTAGAATATTTAAGGTTTCAAATAACAGCAGTAGGATAGAGATGCCTACAGAACTTCAAACACGGATGATTGAGCACAAGTACTAAAACTATCATTTAGCAGAACAAAATGTCAAAATTTGCTTCCAAATCCCCCTTGAAAGGTCACAAGACAATCTTTAGCAGCAAAAGTCCCAAACAAGGACTGGTCCATATCTAAAATTACACCAAGTTAAACTCAGAGAGTTTGAGATGTTAGATTTCAGCATCTGCCCATTAACACAGGTGGAAGCCACTAATTTGCTGTTAAAAGTGGTCATAAAGCTCTAGCTGTACTCACTCCCAATGGGTTAGCACAATGGTAATAGGTGGATGATGACAACATCCAACCCATCCGGAATTCGAGTGTTGGAGCCAATGTCACCTATTAAAAAAATGTCTTTGTACTTTTGGACCCAAATTGCATGAAGAGAGAGCAGCTTTTAGCTTCTATTTGAAAAGCTAAATCACATCAGTGTATCCAGAGAAACACATTTTATTGGGCGAATGCTTGACCAAACACATGAAACGGAAAAGATCTGTTTTGGAAAGACTTCTACGATTCAATATAGCAATCCAGTCTCCAACTTAACAGTAGTTACTAGTGACAAAAAAGGTTGTCAGATCCTATAACAAACCAGTAAGCTCAAACCACGTGTAAGCAACAGTAATGAATTATTAGTATCAGGCGAAGGCGGCATTTTCTTAGGATGAGGTACAAATAAGTCAGTGAGTTAGAAATGGTATAATCAAGTCTGCCAACTTACCTGATATTGTTGTCACGATTTGACAAAAATCTTCCTAGTATATTTATAGCAAGCACTCGCAAGCCACCATTATCTTCTATGCTCATGATGGTTTCAACACATTCATACAAAATAGCATTTCCTGCATTTTTGTTTGATTCGGTCTTTGTTGCCACCTGGAAAACGATATATGAAGAGGGGTAGAACATATCAGTACACATTCACCAAGTATAGAAACACCTACTTAGAATGAAATAATAGAGCTAAACCTTAGAGATGATGATTATTTAGCCCAAATAAATGGAAGAGCAAAATATAGCAGAAACAGTAATGCAGAACCTGAGCGAGTATGTCGTTCATAGCATCACTAGCATCAGCATCTCCTTGGCCTAGCACACGCAAGAGCTTTAGCAGTCTAATATGAAGAAAGGGGTCTGTGATTCCAGCAATGTCATACTCTGGTGCGTATGGGCTGTTTACAAGATCTCGTAAAGTCCTTACCAAACCATCCGTGCATTTCTACAACAATTATTTGAAATCTTGTCATAATCTGTTGCAGAAAGCACCATCATCCAATTTTAACGCTAGTAATTCAATCACTTGCATAAGAAGAGCTCTGATAGGCTACTTGCACAGATGAGGCATTGCTTATGGACGGGCAAGATACACAATGCAAAAAGATTCTGGAGAAGTAAACTTAAGAATACAATTAACTGATAACAAGTTGGTGAATGAATTCTAACGTAGAGAGTTGAAAGAGATATGCACCAACGAGAAAATTAACTAAAGGTAGCCAAGAAACAAAAAAAAACGTGCAATGACTTGGCCAGCATGAATATTAGCAACAACTACACAGAATATCTAATAAACATGAAACTAAAGAAAAACAATCGTAAAGTGATAGACTCCCTGTATGTCTGTGAAGACACTGAATAAGTTAGAGCAATTTACCTTTCTAAAATATTCCAGGGCCTCGGGACTCACTTTACATAGATCTGTACAAAGTTGAATTCCTGTGATCAAGACACCATGGTGCTTTTCTTTGAGTAAAGCTGCAACAGGATTGATGAAATTTTCTGCCAAATCTGGGACCTTCTTTATAATCCTTATGGAGCATAAGGCTGCCTATACACAAGACAATCAAATGACATGAAAACCGTTAAAAGAACAGGACAAACTGGAGAAGTTAGAAAAACAACTAAAAACAAGTATAGGTAGTAGATATCATTATTACACGAAATAATAATAAAAAATATAGATTTGAACCAATTAAGAATATAAGGAGACTAACTTTTTTCCGAATATTTGGGTCTCGGAATTGCAGCAGTCTCTCTACTTCAGGTGCTAGATCCCGTGCCATTTCTGCTGAACAAATGTTCCCCAAAGCACAAAGAGCAAGTCCCACAATATACTGGTTTGTATGATTAAGATCTCTGTACTTAGGCTAAGGAATCCAAGTTTCAAATATCAGATTAAAAATGCTGAATGCCAGAAGTTTGGAACAAGAATAAAAACAGGAGATATAAACCGAGAGGATACTGCTTTACAGAGTTCGTGACCAACATTAGGACCTCCTGTCTTTCATCAAGAAGCAGCATCAGCCCAAGATATCCTATTCTCTTCTCAGGAAATCCAGGTGATGCAATCAACTTCAGGCACTCCATTTGCCCAAAATGCGTTGGATAGCCAAGCATGTGAATAAACATGAGCTTTGCCAGGTTACGATGTCTATAATCTTGATCATTTTCATTAATGGCAGCACGTATAGCAGCACACTCTTTTCTAACAACAGCGCGTTCCTCTGCAGCAGTTTTGCAAGCACGGATTGCCCGAATCATGTCCCTGCAATGAATGTTTTGGCACACATCACATATCAATACGGGAACTCATATTTTCCCCCATTTAAAGGTTTTGACTATTAGCCAAAGCCAGGAAGCACATAAAAGGATGACCAGTTTCAGTCATCTCAGATTACAGAACAAAGTTGCTAAGAATGCACATAGTAAAAGCTATTCCAGAAAACTAGTCAAAAACTTGCAGATAACAAATGTGCCGAATTGACATCAGCAGCACACAAGGAAGCTTCAATTCCAGTCATATGAGGTCGACTTTGGATGAATTCTAAACAAGAATCTATAGAAACCAGTTCTATGACTATATCAGTCCAGCGCATTTTGGATTCCCCCGAGTCTTTCTAAATGTTCCAACAGATACTCCAAACTCGAACAAAACGAGTATCACCACCAAGTATGAAGGGCAATTCATCCCATCAGCTTATCTAATGACGTCACATTCACTTGTTTCCCCACATTCTATAGCTCACTTTACTCTCAGAAAGAACAGCTCCACAAACAAGTGGATCACAACACCAATCGCGCCAGAGCTCCTCCGTTAACCTGAAGTACTGGCAACGATCAACTAAGCTCTCCCTGGTATCTGAAACTCCCAAAACCACAACTCTGCGCATTTGTGCCAATCCTAGAGAAGGCAATTGAGTGCCATTATTGTCCATCCTACCAGGGAAGCAGCCAACAACTACAGTTCCCAAATAACGCAAGGAATTCCACAAGACTTCCAACTCCAGAGAAAAATTGTTCGACGTGATCCAACACAGAAGGCAGCAGTGGCAAGAAGGATGGATTCTGTGCACTCACCTGAGACGCGTGCCGGAAGAGAAGGGATTCATGATTGGGTCCGTTTCGGAAACTTGCACCAGATAGCTCAATCGGATCCAAGGGGGATTTTGGCGGCGGAAGAAACCGATCAACTATGTTCTTTCTCTCCTCCCTCCCGATTCCGTCAGCGAGCTCGGATTCAGAGATCCGAATGGGAGGACATTAGGAGATCTGGGAGACCCTGCAGATTTGGATCTGATGAGAGAAAGGAAATGGACGAAGTAATTTCTGGTTTGTTGTTTTAAATTCTCCGCTTAGCAATGAGACGGAGAGGGGATGATGAATATTAGTGTGCGTGCTGTTCGAATTTTTGTCTCTCTGTAAACAAATGAAAATCGGAGAAGGAGAAGAAAGAAACAGCAAAACAAAAATAAAAAATTTAAAAAATTGAGCACTAAAAATTATAAAATGAAGAAAAAATGTGGATATTTCCAACTCTTGTAGTTAAAAATACCGGCGGTTTCTTATATAATTACTAGCTTATAACCCGACTCGCTACTCGGAGGTAGCTGAGACGAATATTGAATTATTGGTATTAACGTAATAATGCTCTTGGCTCATGTATATTGTGAGGAGAATAAGTGACTTGAATTTGTTTTCGGTGTATATTGTATACGATAGCAAAGAAGACCAAAGAAATGAGACCCACTTCAAATTAATTAAACTGAACATCTAGCAAGCCTTCATTGTATATACCAAATAGGCAAGGAAAACATTTCAATTCGAATTGGATAAGAGATTGGAGACCGTAGACCCCGATGGCGGTGCCGACAATAGAGAAAAAGCATGTGGTGGTGTCGTTGAAGGGGAAGCACTAAAGGGGACTGCAACAGTTGCCATGGGGAAAGTTTGTGACATAGATCTGTGACTTGACAAAGAACGGGGCTAGAGTTTGGTTGGGCACCTTCGAGATGACCGAGGAAAAGTGTCCTGAGGAGGCAGTGTTTATTTTCTAGAGCTAGAGGGCAAGAAAAGTTTCGCGACGGAGGTGCCATAAAATTATTTTGGTTTCGCGATTGAAGAAGTCTGGCCCTCTAATGCAAGTTGGAGGAAGGTGAAAGGGTGGGTGGAGAGATGACATTTTCTTCTTTTTTTACCTTTCTATTTTACTTAATTGGAACAAAAGAGCAAAAAATTTAGACAGACAAAGTTAATGCAAAAAATAAGCAACGTCAGCAAAAAGTTAGTCCAGTCAGCACATGTTGATAGCATGAAATTTATGTGAAAGTCTATAGCATGAGGGCACAACTTTTATTTGAGATGTTGACTAGTTCTTTCAAAATAGTAACATTTATTTTGGCAGACGGAGACAAGAGCTTAAATATTTTTCAGGTTGCTAACTAAAATGATGGACAAGAGCTGGGTTTCTAAACCATGAGAAAGTATTGCATATTGCAATGGAATAGAGAATATTTTGAACTTTGCATTTGCTAATTTAGCTGAGGGACATCACATTGTGTGAACTGTAAAAATTTGTTATAGAAAAGAAGTGATATCGTGCGTACGCATTTGGTTGTTTGTGGACTTGCTCCGAAATACACTCAATGGACTGATCATGGAGAGAATTTGTTGAGGATATAGGAGATGTCGAAGTGATTGGTGATTATGATATGCTTGACAAATTGATTGATGCCTACGCTACATAGAGTGGTGCAGAACCTAATGACAAGGTCAAGGAATTTTTTACTCTCATACAGGATGTTGATCCAGAAATGTACTCAGGTCGCAAGAAAATTTCAAAGCTATCTTTCACCATTCGAATTTATCTTCATAAATGCAAAGAATAAATGGAGTAATACCTCAATGGATGTACTCCTTTCATTACTCATTGAGAATTTTCCTAAGGCAAAGAATACTTGCATCCAATGACAGAATGAAGGTGATGATTAAAGGTTTAGATTTGAACTACAAGAAGATCCATGCTTGTCCAAACGAATGTATTCCATATTATGGTGCCATTAATGAAAAATTAAAGAATTTCAAAAAATATGATGAATACTGTTACAAATTTACATATAATGGTTAGGGGATAACAGTGAAGATGGTGTTGGTTCCAAGAAACAAATTGATGCCAAGATTTTTTGCTACTTTCCTTTGATTTCAAGACTACAAAGGTTCATGTCCTCCAAGACTACTAAATTTATGAGATGACGCAAGGAGAACCGCGAGAAGGATTGCAAGCTTAGACATCCTGCAATTGGTCAAGCTGAGGAAGATTTTGATAATTTACATCCCGAGTTTGCATATGAATGTATAAACATAGGTTCAGAGTTGCTGCATATGGGTTCAATCCATTCAGAACTATGACTAGTTCTCATAGCACATGACCCGTGATAGTAGCCATTTATAACTTACCTCCATGGATGTGCGTGAAGCCAGAGTACTTGATTTTGTCATCAATTATCCTAGAGCCAAAATCACCTGGAAATGCATACCGATGTCTATCTACGGATTTTAGTTTATGAATTAAAGACCGTATGCGATGGAGTCATGACATACGACTCTCACGGTAAACAAATGTTCAATATGCATGATTGTTTGATGTGGACCATGAACAACTTTCCTAGATATGACATGTTGTCTGGTTGGAGCACAAAAGGATATTTTGCTTGTCCTAATTGTAATTATGGCACATTCTCTCGTTATTCGAACAACAGTAAAACAAATTTGTTACATGGGCGCACATAGATTACTTTGACGCATAACACGGTTGGAGGAAGGTGATGACTCGATATTTGCACATGTTTTTCCCTTTGTTTCTTGATCATTTAAGCTTGCATTATCGCTTCTTTGGCCTATTTTATGTTAGGCTGTGTTCCTTTGTCACATTTCAGGTCCTAGCAAGTAAAGTGAAGTACAGAGGCAAGTTTCTAGTCAATCGGAGATCACTTGGCAACTCGGGGGAGAAACTCGGGCATGACTAGAGGAAGAATAGATTTCTACCTCATTTTATGGGGAAAAAAATTATCATGTAATCTTGTCATTAAAAGATATAGGATGCGGCTACGAGCATATGGGATCAAACGACACCTTATTCGAAGTCCGCACGAGGGAGAAACGGAGAATCAAAGACAAGGGACCCGAAACGGTGAAATCCCTGGTCTGGAGGTCCAATTCCCCGATAGGGGATTAGCAAGTCATGTAGGGGATTTTTATCAGAAGAAATTCCCGGTCATGAGGTCCAATTACTCGAGCGGGCATCTGAAATACCCGACCGGGTAACTTCCAGAAGCGGGTATAAAAGCTTGTTTTGTGCGTTTTTGGAGGGGGGAGTTGGGTTTTGGATTCCAAACACCCAAGGGACAACCCCTAGAGAGAGAGAGAGAGAGAGAGAGATCAGATTGTGATCATTCTTGAAGCTATTTTGGAGGATTTCGTCACGATTGGAGCTCGGGAATAAAGCTTGGAGATGGAGATTGAAGATCTAGATTAGATATCTGCATTCTCTCTCTTCTCTATGGAGTAACTTCCCTTCACTTAGGTTATGAGGAACCCTAGCTATGTTTGTTTGATTGGATGATTGTATGAGTACTCCTATTTAAAAATCTTGAGTTCATATTCAATCTATGCATGTTTTCATGATTCAATTATGCTTCAGTTGAGATTATTGATTCTGCTTTGATCCTATGAAAGTGATTACCTGGTTAGGTCATTAGAGCACCATAGATTGATAGTATTAGATCGATTTCTTTAGTCGAGGGTCGATTCGCTGCTTTGTATCGATTGAAAACCTCATTCGATAGAGGGAATCTAGTTTAGAGTTCCTTGATCGGTTGTTCTAGAGAAGGATACATCCCTCTAGGCAATCAACTCAAGAGGGCCTTGATTTCTTTAGTCGAGATTCAAAGTCTAGTCAAGGATTCTCCACATTGTAATTAAAAGTGAAACATGTTAGAGTTCATCAACCATTAATCTGGCTAGTGGCTAGGGGGAATCATACCTAAGTGAGTTCCCAACCTGTAATTAGATTAACTTTAACCATAGTTTGCTAGAGTAGTTATAGTTCTTCTATCTTAATCTGGTTTGCTAGATAATGAACTTAAGATGAGTAATAGTAACTCTAGAGACCTATGTATTCGATATTTATTACTTGTGCCACTATACTGCAGTCTCTTTCATTGGTTACAATTGGCCATTGTTAGGAGTTGTGTAGTAGCAAGTCAGAAGGACAATAGCTCTTTTGATTACGAAACATAGTTTCGGTTGAGACCGACATCATTATCTAGTTCGCAGATCAAAAAAGAGTTCATCGGATTCATCAATGACGTTGGTAAGAAAGAAAAGAAGACAAGTGAGAAAAGAGGTAATTTCTCGAAGGTTTCTATTTTTTTTTTTTTTTTGAATTGCCTTATTAGGAGCATAATATGCTAGAATTCTTCATAATTTGAATAATCCCAAAGGTTAGCTATTCATAAATACAGAGGAAAAGAAGAATAATGAAAGAGGAAATGACACCATGGCGATTCCCTTCTCAATTGTTATCTTCCTTATGTGTTTTGAGTCTCGAGAGCTTCTCTAGGTCGTATTTTCAAAGTCTAAACCTACTGAGTTCGTCAGAAGGACAAAGATGGTTGCCGCTCCTCGAAACACTATTTTCAAAGGTGTTCTTCATAATTATAGTGCATTTAGTTCCCCGAGCCGCAATTTCGGTCCAACTTTTGGTTCATTTTGCTTTGATTGTGATTTCCATTTATGGGTCGTTGAAATGTGAGAAATGCACCGCTTCTAGAAATGGGTATGGGTCTTCCATTTTTGGGGCATGAAGTTCAACTCCATTTATGACGTCCAGCCTTCTGATCCTGATGTCTCCAGCCCGTACAAGGTGGTCCACTAAGGTGCTTTAGCCTAAAAATGCACGAAATACTACCCAAAGGATATCAAAGATACAAAAATATCCACAAAAGCTACTACCAACAAATCCAAATCAATATGACATAAATCTGTATAAATCGTGCAAAACATGCCATGAAATTATGGTATAAAACATACATATTGCGTACTTTCAAATAACCACACAACTGAACTTTGCTTGTCCCCAAGCAAACATAGTCAAATTCATACAAATCACTAAACCTCTATGATGACACGTGACTGTCTGTCATGGGTAGTGGGTAAGTATCAATTTACGAGGTCAACCAGAGATAATAAAACATCTAACAACATCAGTGAGGACATTTTCCTCGTATCAGTAAGTAGTAAGTCTAGAACAAGATGTTTGTTAATGACGAGACTCTTGAATACGAGAAACAAGATGAATTCACTCATTTGGATTTTCTTCTTTCTTAATTGCTCCACCTTTCCTCGAACAATTTGAGATTTTTTTTCTTGTACGCTTTACATTGGCAAAGTTTGAGGGAA